TCATACATGCATACCATACATACATGAATACCATACATACATACAATGACATACATTACATACATACATTACATTACATACATACATCATACATTACATAGCTACATACCATACATACATTACATACATACTACCGACATACAGATATACATACATACATACATACATTACATTAGCATTACATACATACTATACATCATACATACGATACATACATGTACATACATACATATCATACATACCATATACATACATACCATACATACATACATACATACATACAATTACATACATACATACATACATACATACATATACATACATACATACATACATACATACAGTACATACATACTACATACATACATACATACACCATACTACACTACATACATACATACATACATACATACATACATACATACATATATACATACATACATACATACATACATACCCGCACGCACTCACGAACGCACGCACGCACGCACACGCACGCGCGCGCGCGCACACACACACAGACACAGACGCACACACACGCACACACGCGCGCGCGCACGCGTATATCGTTGCTACGCATCGTCGTGAACAAAACACTATCTCACTAACTCGTCGCGTGCGAATAGTTGATCGTGTTTATTCGATTCATCATTCACTTTTAATACTTTTTCATGTAAAAAAATCGATCGGGTTGTTTGACCTTTTACTGATTTCACACAAAAAAACGGTCGTCAGTCGAATCTATAAGCAGAAATGATATGACAAATATATCATTATATATTAATATAAATTTTAATATAACAGAATAAACTCGCGAGTTTGTAGCATCAATGTATTCTAGTCTCTACTCGTGTACGCTGTAGTCAGAGCATATTGTTACTTGAATCCAATCAGCAAAGCCAAACACTTAATTAATCATTCTCTTGCACACTTACGTGAACGCGATTTCGGTCTAACGATGTATATGAGAAACACTGTGAGGTGGTGAAACACGTGGAACGACAGACGGGTGAACGGGCGTTCTTTAGTAACCAGCGCGTTGGCAACACTGCCCCGAACCCCGCCCGAAACTTAGCTAACGTGAAAGCTAAATCGATCTACCTGCTCAAACACTTATGCGAACGGATGAAACACTCGCGATGATTCCAGTAAGGTTGGACAGTAGCCACGTCTCTAGCGTCCACGCGAGGGCAACACCGCCCGGAAGGCGGCGCGGAACTGACTGCTCTTCGCAATATATATCAAGAAGTTCATGCTAGAATTACAGTACGCCAGCAGGTAGCCGAAGCCTCGCGCCACGCCGACCGTGTCGTGGTAGACGTCGGCAACGCTCAGCAGCATCAGGATAAAATACGGAGCCCAGCAAACGAAGAAAGCGCCGACGACAATGCCAAACATCTTGGCAAGCTTCAGATGCTTGGCGAGCTCAGCAGAGAAGGATTTTCCCACAGGCACTTAATTGAAGCGTTTCAATAAAATATAATGCTAACTAAATACGAAATCTATTTACTTAGTACAAAATTCTTAATGTTTATACTAGCCAGGCCTACTCTCTTTCACCTACGGCTACACCGCCGATAGTTTCCATGAGAGTTCCACGCTTGCACTAATATAGAGAGTAATATATACTAATATATGCACTACTATATATACTAATATATGAGAGTACAAATATATGCACTAATAAACTCTCTATATTAGTGCAAGCGTGCAACAGTCGCGCCGCGAGAGCTCGCGAGCCGCAGGGCTCTATATTAGTGCAAGCGTGCAACAGTCGCGCCGCGAGAGCAATGGCAGCCGATAATGCAGTGGTTGGAAACTATCGGCGGTGTAGCCGTAGGTGAAAGAGAGTAGGCCTGGCTAGTATAAACATTAAGAATTTTGTACTAAGTAAATAGATTTCGTATTCAGTTAGCATTATATTTTATTGAAACGCTTCAAGTGCCTGTGGATTTTCCGGTCGCTCCTGCCTCCTGCGAACCGCTGTTGCTCGGGTCCGGGTGGATCTGCTGCTGGTGGTGCTTGGCAATCATCATTATGTAAGCGTAGATGGAGATGATGGCGACGCCGCACGTACCAATGACTAGCGAGCTGCAGATGAGAGATGTTCTACTCGTGACGGTGTCATACATGCACGGTTGATCCGGCTGCCAGCGGTTGCCAATGAGAGTCATCACGCTTGCGAAGAAAGCAAAGCTCCAAGCCAGGACTACCATTACTAAGATAACGCGCGGTGTGACGATCTGGTAGTAGTGTAGCGGTCGCGATATTGCAATGTACCTGTCTACGTTGATGGCAATGAGAGAGTTTGTTGATGCAAGGGCCGAGAGCGTAACCAAACTGAAGTGTCCAAGGCATATGATCTTTGGCGGGAATTCGATTAGAAAGGTCGTTGGTGATACGAAGGTTCCTTGCACGCCCATGAGAAAATCGGCGACAGCCAAGTTTGCGATCAGCTTGTGTGCCGGCTCCTGCAGGTGCGATGTCCGTGTCACAGCCAAGATGACGAGAAGATTAGCAAGTATGTTGAGAATGTTGACAGGAATCAGCATGTAAGCGATCCACGCCTGAATTGCTGGGACTGCGCCCTGTTCAATATCCGACTCCATGCAGCCGATCCAGCTTCCATTCTCGGACACGGACCCGGAGATGTTGCACAGTGAACCATTAGCTGTCGCCATGATGCAGAAATGAATCTTACCACGCCAGCTCCGTAACACTAATGGCGTGCCTCTGCCGCTTCGCATTAATTTTATGTCTTTTATACGTAATAATGTCTCCCCATCGCCCTCTCAGCAATTCTATTTCTGAACAATAATTTTATCTCGTAGCGTTGTCACGATACTATGCTACATAATTAAATATACATAATTTACTATATTACATCGTTGAACCCTTAGATTCTCCACAGACACGCGTCATTCGTTCTCACGAATCATTTAACTAGCGTGATGCGGGGTATTGTTGTACCTAATTACTTGGACGTACCGGATGAAGATATCAGTCGCACTGCCCCACCCAATGAAAGGGACATTTGCAGCTGGCGCGGGCACAGCTTAGACTGTTCCCAGCTGTCAACCCTCCGCCACGAGAAAGCATGAATCGTGGCAATAGCCTTCACTAATATGAAACCTGGTGGCAATCTATGCGATGTATACATTTTCCTCATTTAAGTAAGCTTCGCAACATGAATAGAAAGTAAGTTTGATACATTTCTGCGCCAATTGATTTTGCGCTAACGAAGTATACGTAAAACTCTCTGAGAAGATTGTAAACCATATTTAACGGCACATTCCACGTTCTTTAGTGGCAAACGCTTGGGCAACACTGCCCCGAACCCCGCCCGAAATTCGGCTAACGTAAAAACTAAATCGAACTACCTGCTTAAACACTTAATCGAACGGATGAAACAGTCGCGATAATTCCAGTAAGGTTGGACAGTAGACACGTCTCGAGTGTCCACGCGAGGGCAACACAGCCCGGAAGGCGGCGCGGAACTGACTGTTCTTTGAAGCATATATGAAAAAGTTCATGAAAGAGTTGGAGTCTGCCATGATACAGCCGAAGCCTGTCGCCACTCCGAGCGTGTCGTGGTAGACGTCGGCGACGCTCAGCAGCATCAGGAAGAGGTACAGAGTCCAGCATGATGATTGCCAAGCACCACCAGCGGCAGATCCACCAGGAACCGAGCAGCAGCGGTTCGCAGGAGGCAAGAGCGACCGGAAAATCCTTCTCTGCCGAGCTCGCCAAGCATCTGAAGCTTGCCAAGACGTTTGGCATAGTCGTTGGCGCCTTCGTCGCCTTTTGTATGCGTAGATGGAGACGAGGGCGGCGCCACACGTCATAATAAGTACCGAGGTTAAGATAACAGATATTCTACTCGAAACGATGTCATAGACGCATGGTAGATCCGGCTGCCAGCGGTTGCCAACTGACGTAATCACGCTTATGGCCAAGGCAATGCCCCAAACAAGGACTACCATTAACAAGATAACGCGCGGTGTGACGATCTGGTAGTAGTGTAGAGGTCGCGATATTGCAATGTACCTGTCTACCTAGAGGGCGATGAGAGCATTTGTTGATGCGACGGCCGAGAGCGTAAGCACACTGATGTGTCCAATGCATATGAGCTTTGGTGTGAATTTGAGTAGACACGTATTAGTCCTCGCTACCGCTCGGTCACTATACTTTCCCTCAGCAACACTATGAGAGCATAATGCCCTCAACAACAGGCATTAATATATAAATAATGACAGCGACGCGATTGACAGCGACGAGCAGCGACTGACATTGGCAGTCACAGGCAGTCGCAGAAGATGCTAGGTCGATGTGACGATCGCCTATCGATCGCGCAACTAAATGTGTTTACATGACTTGTTACTGTGTGCATGTTGTGTATATGACTGTATTCACTGATTGTTTCATTCTTATTGTTCGCTTTTATTCATTGTTCATTATGCATTCGAATCTCGTCGCAGCGGTCGCAAGGCAGCTTATGTCGGGTAAAACAATGCAAGCGACAGGTGGAAACAGTCGCGTCGCGTCGCAAAATTAGAACATGCGTTACTCGCTGCGTCGGAACGCAGCATAACCTATTTATTTCAAACGCCATCGCTACAAAGCGGGTATAGCGCCATCTACGGTCACAAATTGTGATTCATTTTGGTTTATAAATTATTATTGCGATATACAGATGGCAATCGTTTCTATAATGTACGTCGATGGTTGCTCAATTAAAACTGACTTCTTCTTCCCTTTTCATTTAATATATTATAATGAATGCGATTAATTTTGAGATTAATTCAGAATTTTTTTCGTTTGTGTTAAAAGAATTTTGAGTCACGTATTTAAAGGGTTAGTGCTGCAATTTAGTATTATTTTATTTGTATTAAAAGACATTTTAAGGGAGACATACTGAGCATAGTTTTATTCTCTCATGACTTTAAATAGTACCCTCTACCCTATCCCCCTAACCTATATAGTACCCTATGGGGAAACATAGGTACCGGGACACATAGGTACCTGGGTACTGGGACACAAAGGTACCGGGACACATAGGTACCGGGAAACATAGGTACCTGGGTACTGGGACACATAAGTAGCGGGACACATAGGTACCGGGAAACATAGGTATCGGGACACATAGGTACCTACTGGGACACATAGGTACCGGGACACATAGGTACCGGGACACATAGGTATGGACCCCAGACACGTCTCCGGCAGTCGCAGGAGTACTTAGGCCGAACTGTCCCTGCAACGCGATCGCACTCTATGTGTCGGTCAGTGGAAAAAACCTGTAGGCTAATTGTTCACACTAGTACGTTAACGATGCAAATAGACAATTGTAAACAAAAAAGTCAATAGAATTACTAAGACAATCGAAAACAATTGTAACGCGTACGCTGCTTTACTGGGAAAATATACAATATAATTGTAGTATCGTATTATTCCGCTCTGCACCCGTTATTTCCCCGTGTCTACTTTCTCTTCCCTGCTTCCACGACTTTTCCCCCTCCCCCCCAGTAGCAATCATCTACCCGTCTACCACTGTAGCCTCAACAGCAGCCTACACGAGTAGATAGCTAGCTTTAGCGAAACCCTGTTGTTACCAGCAAGGTCAACGATGAAGTGAATATATATATATATATGAATGCGACTCGACGCGACGCATTGCATCTCACAGCGACAGTGAGTAATCGCAACCCGCCGGCCTTAGGTCACGCGTTTTCTCGCCAGATTTTGCTTCTTCGGAAGGTAAGCGTTTTTCCAAGAAATGAATTGTCCGCCTATACTTTCCAGC